ATTTTATGTTATATATGTATAGTTTATATATATAATTTATTTGATATATATAATTAAAAAATATTGTAATTTGATGGCATGGAGATTACTTTTTATTATTAAGGTCTTAAGTTCAAATTCTATATGTTTTAAACATTTTAAAATATTTTTTTATACTATTTTTATCTAAAAATCATAAAACTTATTTTATTTAATTATTTATATTCTATTATAAATAAAAATATATTATTTATATATATTTAAGAGCCCATATGTTTTTTGGCGGATCATTCGAAAGTTAGGATCGAGCCTGCATAAAATTAAGGACTTGTAATGTGTCTTATTGGATATGAATGATGGGGATGGGGATGGCTATGGTAACGATGCATTTATACAGAATAAATTTAATTGTTTGAGCGATTTTTTTTTTTTTTTTTTTTGGAGAAAAAAGGATTAGTTAATTTAGATAAATTAGTTGGTTTGTATAGATTTATAATGTGAATATTTTATTTAATAAAATCAACAAACAACATATTGCTAATTGGAGTAAAGTCCCCATTTACCTATTCAACTTGAAATTCAGTCCCCATTACATAATTATTTATTTGCACTCCCTACTTTACATGTTTTCTCATGCTTGACTCCCTATCATTCTCTAATCTCTTTTATACCCTCAGCCCTTATCTTCCTCATTTAACTTACCTTTCACCAAATCAGTTTTTTCTTTCGCGCGATTTTCAGGTGCTTCAACGGCTGGTTTCATCATTTCTTTTCACTCCCGCGACGAAGGTATTGCAAGTATTCTTCCAAGGATCTTTCTCCTCTATTCGCTTTTAATTCCCAACAGGGATCTCATTCCCGAATAAACTCTGATTTCATCATACTATTAGTCACAATGAACTCTGATTTGAATACAAAGGGAAATTTTTGGGGGGATTTAGGTAATTTTTCTCAATTTTTAGTCATACTTTGTTTTCCTTACCTCTTACCTAAAAGACACTAATAGTGGGATGAATGTTTGAATGATGTACTTCATATGCTCGATAAAATGTCCCAAAAGAAGATCTTGTTCCAACATAAGAGAATTTAATAATTTTTTGTTCAAAAATTGTTGGTTTGCTAATATCATTATAGATGGTGAGGGAAAATTGTTATTTTTTTTGTACAATTGATTGGTTTTGATGGAAATTGATGAAAACGTCAAAATTGCTAATTTATGTAGCTCGTTTGCTTCTCAATGAATTTCTCAAGCACAAATTTTATTATGTCATTTAGAAAGGTTGAGATCCGGCTCCTATTTGCCGGAAGAACATTAATTTTCTAGTAAATAAATATATAAAAATAATTATGTCACAATCTTTACTTTTGTTAGTTGTTGTTAATTGTATTTTAAAGGACAAAGAAAGAATATGTAAACAAAATGCATGTGAATTTATATTCAAAATCAATTCAAAGACATAAAATCATAGAATTTCTAAATACACTTTAATCTTCAAGAAACTATTGAAATCTCGTTCTGCTTATTAATCTTCAATTCCTGGTAAAAATCAATGAGATGTTTTTTTTTTTTTTTTTTAAAGGAGCATTTATATTTGTAGAAGAAAGCTTAGAAATGTAGTAATGTAGAAAGTTTAAAGGAAGATATTGTATTAGTTTCTAGTAATTCTCAATGAATATTCTCTGTTATTAAAAATGATTTTACCTTGCTCTTTCTTGACTCTCTATATTTTGAGTTGCAAGACAGATTGGTTGAAATTGAATTGGTGGGTGCTAATTTATACTAATTGTAAAATCAAATGGAAGAAAGTCATTTCCATTTTATGCATTGAGGACCCTTGAGCCATAAACCTCTTGCAGACCACTTAGTATAAGTAAGCTAATGATTCGATATTTGTTTTGTCTAGGATTCGTTGTAGCCGTCTCGAACACAAGAAGAAGTTGTAAAGAGCAGGTATCATTGACCTTTTAAAAGTGTATTTTTTTTTTGTCTAAGATGTCCCTTTTAGCATTTAATTACTTTTGTCGTGTTGGATATAGTGTAATGATGTAGGTAAAAATACAACAAAAATAGCCTGGTTGGATAGAACCAAAATTGTAATTTGAATGTACTGTTGTATATGAACACGAATAATGGGCATGTGATAGTCCTTTTTATATATGATAATTTGATGACACAAGTTTCTGAAAATGTAATAGGGGTACACATTATTTGGGAGAATATTTAGTTGATGTCTCAATGCACGTTGGCACAGTAGTGAATTATTACTCAAATTTTTTGTGGACATGAATGTACAGTCCATGAATGAGCAGCAAAATATCCCTCTTTGATGCACGATTGGGTGCATGTATGTTGTTATTTTATTATACATACTCAGTATAGTAGGATGGGTATCTCCTATTTCATTTGTGCAACCAGACCGTCAAAAGAAATGACGCTATTTATGACTTCCAACAGATAAAAAATTCACGAAAATGTGATCCTTGTGGTTTTCGGGCTCAATAGAAACATGTGTAAAGTTGCGGTACCGTAGGCCTTTTGAGGTATAATTTTTGTTTTTGTCCTGAACGTCCTTTTTGGTGTGTAATTACCTTTGGCTTGACTGATACAATGTAATGAGGTAAGTAAATATACAATAGCAAGATTCCAGTTGTATAGAACTACTGTTATAATTTGGATGTATTGATGATACATGAACAAGAACAAAAACACTGGGTATGTGACAGTTCTCGTTTGTGTATGATAATTCAATGACACAGGTTTCAAAGAAATGAACACAAGCACATGAATTATCTGGGGGGTACTTAGTTGATCTTTCGAAGCACGTCTAGTAGTAGTGTATTACTATCCCAACAATGTTATCGTGGTCTTGATGAGTAATGATCTATGTGGCATAAAGTACACGAACATACTGTGTTGCATCATGTCACATCCATTAAAAACATACATACGAGGATTAAGACTTAATCTATTTTGGAATCTATCAATATCCTAACTCTTCACTGGCACTAAAGTGGAGCTATGAAGGTACATAATTCAAAGACCCTGGCATAAGATTAGCTGTTCAGTTACACGCAAGACTGCAGGAGGTACAAGTACTAAGATTTTGTACACCATGCGAGTTTGGGGGTATGGAAAATCCGCTCTGGAGCACTTGCCCACCTAGCTGAGTCATGCACTATGCAAATATGCCCCTCACCGAATGTTGTTGTGTATGGAACGGTGTAGATTAATACGTAATAGGTTTAAAAATTTTCAATTTATGGCAACAATCATTTATACTAACAACCAACATAATTAAATTTACTCACTTATGACTTGTTTAGCCATTTACAAGTGAAGGTTGGAATATGATTATACATATATCATTATTTTGACCGTAATTTTACTGTGGTAGCTCTTCACATTATCAAACTCACCGTCGATGCCACCAATGGAATGGACTGCCGGATTCGTGTGAGCGTAACACTTGCTGAACATGCAGACCAAAAGACCACAGTTGAGAGTATCACCTTGATTCCGACATCTTACGTACTCGGGCATCTCCCTTACCATGGGTCATAGGTATATTGCGTTCAGGTACAAGCATAAAAATCACGATTGTAAAAATAACATAAGATTTTGTTACGTAATTCGGTTTATCCATGATAAATTAATTATATTTATTTCGTAAACGTACCAATTTCTCCGCGTTCCCTTGCCCGAACGGATCGCATAGTGAATTGAATAACAAGCACAATCCGACTTACGATCTGTAAATAAATATATTTAAAAATTTCTCAGAATCTATCAGGAGTACGTAACAACACATGTCGAGTACACATTAGTCCCTAAAAGTATATTACTTAGCAAACTAGACCTAAAACTGCAACTCCGGGTACTTAATAATACTACATTTGCCAACCCACAAACATGACTAATTACCGAACAATCAGACAAAAAACTAAAATATGCAACTACGGGTAACTAAACAAAATGTACATCTACAAAATTAACAAAAAAACATATATTAAACAAATAAGATCACCAAATATCGGTGCCAAAAAAAAAAAATCCAACCCGGTCTACGTGGGAAAACATACGAACGATTTTAAACCCGGTTAACAAACACAACTACATCGATCACACAGGGCTCCTCAACACCGAACTGAGACATACAAACACAAGACCAAGAGTTACATCCCAAACAATCGAACAACTACAGTACAAAATATTAGTATCAACAAAATAAAAAATCGAAAAAAGTCCAGTCATGAACTTACTTATTCGAGCTTGTCTCGGGGATGGGAGCGATCAACTGTTTTCTTCAGCATTTTTGCACCAACCGATCGCTACTTGGTTGCCAAGGGTTGAAGAGTGTCGGTTCTCCTGAAGAAAAGAGAAGTAGGGTTTAAAATTGTGTTAAGAGAAGTTATAAGAGATTTTCTTCATCAATTCCTGTTAAATCGTGGTAACTATCTTTTTCTTTTTTTATTTATTTTTTAATTCACGAAAAAAATACGCGATATTTAACTAGAAGTATATAAGATTATAATGGGGGTAGAGCGGAAAGTAATATAGATATATATTACAATATTGAAAGTATTGATCAACTTATTTCGAGTATTTATTACGTATACAACAATAATTGAGGGATAAATACAAATGGGGAGCCATAACATACATGATCCATAAAGTAAGGAGTGCAGACTAATTTATTTTTAACAGAGACTGAACTGTAAGTGAATTTATCTGACAAGGATTTAAATCCAACTCCTTTTATATAATCCATAACAAATTTGTAATTTGCTTTATATAATCCGAAACCATCGTTGGATTACCAAAATCCCATTTTTGGATTCTACGTAATATTTAAAAAAAAAAAGAAAAACAATTTTGCGTTGTCACAGTGTTTGGATTGATTTATATTCCTGCTAAGATAGATAGATAGATTCATTCAAAAGTCTAAAAAAAACAAAACAAATCAAACTAAAAGTATACATTTCTTTCATATTCATACATGAACAAGAATCTAACTAGCTAACTAGCTCTTACTAAAATGTGTTCTCGGAGTAGACCAAGGCGTATCATCGAAAGCCACAATATCCTCACACCCGTCCGGCAGCACCGACTGAATCCTCACCGTCGGCTTCCGCGACGGCAGCACCGGCATCGGCGCCTCCCCGCCCAGCATCCTCGCCGCCTCCCTCATACTCGGCCGCTTCTCGCAGTTCGGATGCGCGCACGCCAGCCCCACCATCACCGTCCTCTCCATCTCCGGCCTATCGAACCTCCCCATCAGACTCGGATCCGCCGCCTCCACGATGATCCCCTTCTCCCACAAGTCCCACACATAGTCCGTCACCACCACCCTCTCCTCGTCCACCGGCCGCCGCCCCGTCACCACCTCCAGCACCACCACGCCAAAGCTGTACACATCCGTCTTCGCTGTCGGCACGCCGGAGAAAGCATATTCCGGCGCCAGATACCCCATCGTCCCGGCAGGCACGGTCGCGTACCGCGTCCCCAAGCTGTGCCGGTACACTTCAGCCAATCCGAAGTCGCCGAGCTTCGCATTGTACTCGGCGTCGAGCAAAATGTTGCACGTTTTGACGTCGCGGTGGATGATTTGGCTCTCGCACTCCTCGTGGAGGTACATTAGCGCGGAGGCGACGCCGCGGATTATGTTCTGGCGGCGCTCCCAAGTCAGGAATTTTGAGATATTCGTCCGGTGGTGAAGAATTTTGTCGAGGCTACCGTTCGGCATGTACTCGTAAACCAGGACGAGTTCGTTCCGCTCGCAGCACCAGCCCTGCAGCTGCACCAAGTTCTTGTGCTTCAAGCATCCGACCATTGTCGCAAACTCTGTATTGAACGGAATTCGCGAAATGGCGGGATCATACTTGTTTTCGTGGTTAAATCTTTTAACCGCGACTAATCCGCATCCGGAGATTGCGCCTTCGTAGACAACGGCCGAGGCTCCTTCGCCGATGATCTTGCATTGATTGAAACCATTCGTCGCGGATCTTATTTCCGCGAGGGATAACATTTTCGGGACCATTCGACTCCCTTGGAAGCTATTCAAGGTTCGATTTTTGCGGGCCGATTTCAGCCTTTTCCTCCGGGAAAGACACTTGCAGACGAAGAAAGTCGCGGATGCGACGACGACAACGAGTAATGTGAAGGTGATCAAAATTATGCCCCAATTCGGTATTCTTTTGTCGAAAGAATGGTAGGCGAAAATGCCGAATCCAATGTCAGTGTCTTCGGGGGAGCACACGATGCACTCGTCGGGGTGTTCTTGTCCCGGCCGGACAATGTCCATCGAAATCGGCGACGGGAGCAGTCCGAGGAACGTCTTGAATCGCCACCGGCTGACGATGTGGATTGACGAGCCTCGGCCGTTGGATGCGGAGAATCCGACGTACATGAACTCATTGAAATGTTGGGATAAATCGAGGTGCATAGCGAGAAGAGGTCGCGGCGGCTTGATATCGACGGTGTGGCCTATCCAGACGGCGATCGTCTTCTCCAGATCTCTGTACTCAATCCAGGCCGTTAATTCTCTGCCGCTCTTCAAATCGACGCCTCTGGAGGCCACGTCGACGGAAGCCAATGACTCGACTTTGTTCAGATCGATACCGACGTGGTTGTCGTTGATGTCGCCAAGATTCCGATCGAAACTGGTGTCGAATTCAACTGCTAAATAGGAGTGATTCCGATCACGATCGCCGGCGCCGGCGAGGCCCATGTAGCCGTCAGAAAAACTGACGGCGGTGGTGTTGGAAGTGATGAGAAATGCGAATCCGTCGCCGAAGGGGCAAGAGTCGGCGCCGGTGATGGTGAAAGAGAAGCTGGAGGAGAAGGAGGCTGTGGTGTTGGTGGAAGGGTTGAGGAAGCGGATAGGGTCTGCGTGGAACACCCGGCCGACACTGGCGGCGGCGGCGGGAAGGGGGAGGTACGGCGGCGGCGGCGGCGGGGATGTGCAGTTTTTGGGTGGGGTGAGAACAATGGAAGTGGAATTTAAGAAAGCATCGGCAAAGAGAGTGATATTGGCTGAAGTAAGGATTGGGATTGGAAAGCATGGAATGGCGGAGAAGACGAAGAAGGAAATAGAAAATGCAAACAAGAATTTGGGGGGGCACATTCTTGGAATTTGAAGAAATTGGGTTTGATCTGATTTGGAGGAGGGTTTTTGAGGGGACTGTCATTTGTGTACTTCCTTCTTCTTCTTCTACTGTGTTTCTGTTTCTTGGATATTTTCAGCATCATTCTTGGTGCATCTATAGTATGTATGTATGTATGTTGTATACACAGGCATATTTATATATTCCTACATATATTTAAGATCATGGACCAACAGCACATGTTATAGTTTTATACACCACACGCAATAGTTAATTTCAGCACACCACATACTTTTATACAACACACTTATAATTATGAACCAACAACACAAATACACCACATTCAGCACACCACGTACTCTTATACAACGTACTTATAATTATAAACAAAAAATATATGTCTTTACTATACAATATGTGTTGTATATAATAAAACAGTGTACTGTTTATATATATTACGAGTGCTGATTTGAAAAATTACGATACTGAATATTTTCAAATGTTTACTTTAACTTGAGTTTTGACACCAACTAATATCGAATACCTGTTTGCTACAGAAGCATTATAAACAAGGTATATGATCAATTATGGAATGAATACTAAAGATTCATTTTATTTCCAGACATTAATTAATGTCCCAATCCTCCATCCCTCCCTCCACTCCCGAATAGCTAACAATGGGAAAAAATAACGAAATGTTGAAATATCACACATTCTGTACTGAAAAAATACCAAAAAGATATCGATGATATACCGAAAATTTCAGTACAATATTTTTAGTACAACATCTGTGTATAAATTAATATTTTTGATATATATCTAAGATATCGTATATTATTTTGATACTTTGGTATTCGATATATCAGTGTATATATATATATACCACAAGTTTGATACACCGAATTATCAGTATGGTATAATTATATATAGTTTTCCTACGGAATTTTTAATATACCTAATTTTCTATATATTGAATTTTCAATACAGAATCGATATTGCAAAATATTATATCGAAAATTTTGATATAATATACAATATGTGGGGTATGATGTTCGGTATCGAAAAGTTCTCACCTTGGAAGAATCAGAGCTTGAAGAATATAAAGAAAAATAGAGCTTGTGCATGTGTATTGTCTTGTGTATTCGCATTCAAAATTTTTGGAGTTGCAAACCCAGCAAAAGACAAAGTGGGTATATAACAGATAGTGAAGCAATGTTTGATTAAAACCAAAATATTATGATTGTTGGGTTGTGATTTACAATTATATACCATATTTATTTGATTTTAATCGAATTTAATATAACTTCCATGTATTGTTTATTTTTAATATGCAGGAGACAAATAATAAATTAGGTCAAAATGAAGAAAAAAAAAAAAAAGAATCAGCCTTAGATCATCTAGTTAGTAATGGTGTGACTAATCCACCTTTATGGCATGAGAAATTACTTGAAATTCCAAAAACACAATTATTATAAAAATAGGGTAAAAAGACAATAAAAATTAGGGATGTCAACGGGGCGAGTTCGGGACGGGTTTCGCAGACTCCGGGACCTGTCCTGCTAGAAAATATTAGAACCTAAGACCCGCCCTGCCCCGCTTCAATCCGGCCCCAGGATCCGTCCCGCTCCGAACTCTCAGGGTTCGGCGCCAACCCGACAAACCTTTTTTTTTTTTTTTGTTTTAAGAATAAAATAAAATAAAATTTTTAAAATAATTTAATACTAAAGAAGCATGCGTCAAAGTACCAAATTCTAAAAATAAGAACAATCAAATATTGACGATAGTCTGTAGTGATGGCGGTCAGCAGTAGTCCCGACTATAAAGAGAATTGTAGGAGAAACAAATGCGAACATAAATTTGATTTAAAATTAAGATTCTATTTTATATTTAAATGTTTTAAATAAATAAATAATATAATTTATATTGTATAAAAATATAAATAAAATATCATAATTATTAAAATATTCGGATTCAGATTCGAGTCCGAAATGGAACAAATTTATATAGTAAAACCCATAACCTGTCCTGACTAAATTTTTTAGACTCGAACTCGCCCCATTTAAACCAAGGCTGGGGCGGATCGAGGCTAACCCGCCCCATTGAAATTCCTAATAAAAACGATGGAGGCACGTATTTTTACAAAGAAGAGGGCCGCTAGAAACAATACAGACACTGCAGGACAGTGCCCAAGCAGACTGACATATTCACGAATTGGCGCAAAAGCAAATAAACAAGGAAGATTTTTCTTTACTGTGGTAGCAGTATTTAATTCATTCTAATAACTGATATTTTAACAAATAGGATATCTGTAATTGTATTCGTATTTGAATAGATGACAACGGAGTTGAATAGTTCATTCGTCACTTTTTTGACAATCAAATTTAATTGTTCTTTTTACATAGTAAATGTTTCAAATTGGATTTTTTTAAAAAAAAAAAAAAAATTGGAGTATGGTTAAAAAAGAAAAAAGAAAAACTAATTGTTAGAGTTGGTTAAAAACTATAACAAATTTATTAATAATTTAATAAGAATTAATTTTATTAAATTGATGATAAAATTCAAGTACCATAATTAAATCATCTCTTACGTCAATCACTCCCTTGACAAATATTCTATAATAAAAAACCAATTCTTTTTTATTTACTGCATAAGCTGGAACCGGTGAACCGGAGCTTGTATTAAAACCGCAATTGTTTTGCATATTGTGATCAAAATCCCATCTAAAACAAAATAGAATTTTTTTTCCTTTTTTTTTAATTTTAATCTTGGCATAATCCATCATCATGGGTAATACAACTAGAAGTAGGGGTGTCAATTCGTATTTTTGGGCCGTGTTCGTGTCGGGTTGAGCCACGAGGATAACAAAAAAATTGTCAATCCGAACCCAATCCGAACCCGAAATTTGACCTGAAACTCTAAACTCGAACACGACACAAATTCTTTCAGGTTGGGTTCAGGTTGACCTGAATTAGTTTCAGGTCACCCGAAACCCGAACAAACCCGATACGAACCCGACACGAAACAGACCCGAAAATTTTAAAAAAATTAAATTGGCCTAAAAAATATCATTTTTATTTTAATTTTTATATTATTTTATATTTAAAAAATATATATATTATAAATTAAAATAATAATAATAAAAAAAAAAATTTCAGGTCAACCCGAAACACAAAACCCAAAACCTAACCTGATTTTGATATTTCAGGTTATCAGGTCAACCCGAAACACGACCTGAACACGACACGAATTTTTTTCGTTTCAAGTTCAGGTCGACTCGAATTTTTTCAAACCCGAAATACCCAAATCCGAATCTGAAAAATTTCAGGTCGAACGGATTCGATTTTTGGGTCGGGTTTACTTTTGACACCCCTAACTTGAAGCGGCAATTTGAGGCCGTTTGAATGTTTTTTGGTGTTGGGCCAGCTTAACTCGTTTTTAATCTTTGTACAATAATCTTAGCCTAGTTTTAAATTGTGCTTGAAAATCTAGGGTCATGGTCCGGTTTCAAGCCATGTCAGCCATAATTTCAAATTTTAATTATTTTTCTTTTTTAGATATATTGTATATATTTTTTAATCTAAATAAATATAATTATAATAAAATAATATTTTTATTAAGAATTAGAGAATTAAGAATTTAAACATTAAATATATTATTATTTTTTATTTTTATTATAAACTTTTAGAAAAAATTAAATTTAAAATTTATTTGATAGATTGTGCCAGACACACGGCCAGGTTTGCACAAGCTCACACATAGCCCAAATTTTCAACCAAGTCGAGCTGGGATTCGGTTTGAAATTTTTTCAAGTCTATTTTTGAAGCTCAAAACCTTATTTTTTGTAGTGCTCCAATTGAATTTTCGAGTTGTGCTTACTTTTGCCAGCTATAAAGATAACCATGCAATTTGATCGAAAATGTAAGTGCTAAATTAATGCATTTTATCCTTTCATTTTTTTACTTGTTGACGTAAAATGATGTATTTAGTTGATAGAAATATCTAATCGAAAATTATACTCCCTCCATCCCAGAACTATAGTCTGGGTTGTGTTTGGCACATAATTTAAGGAATATTGATATTATATTGATAGTGGGTAAAAGATTTTTTTGCTCTTGTGAGTGTATTAGTGTAAAAAGTAGTGGCAATTGTGTAATAATAATGAAAAAATAAGGGTCATTTTATAGTGATATGATTATTTATAAAAATAAGACTATTATTTTAAAACGGACGAAAATAATAAACATGACTATCGTATTTAAAGCTCCATGTATACACTTCTCAACAACTCACTCATCTTAATACTCCCTCCGTCCCAAAAAGAAGTATTCATTTATTTTTTGCACGTAGTTTTAGAAATATTAGTATTATATTAGAATACAGTAGGAATAAAGTAGAAATGACATTTGTGTAATATATTGTAAGTTGTAAGGGTATTTGTAATGTTAAGTAGATAGTACAGTTGCTAAAAAAGAAAATGAATACTTTATTATGGAACGGACTAAAATGAAAAAATGATTACTTTGTTACGAAACTGACGGAGAATTACTTTCGCTTCACGTGGCACAATTAGCTTCATATATACTTATGCCGCATTTATTTAGCATTTATGTTAGCATTAATAATAAAGCTTATTTAGCCTCAATTTGATATGGTCGGAAAGTGGAAATTAATCGCACACGTTTATTGAAATTATTATCGCTTTGACCAAAATTTAAAGCCATCATTTAATAAATACATAAGCACATTTTTATTGACTTATAAAATAAAGGTAATATGATTATTCTCCCACCAGTTCATTTGTTGTGTTTATTTATTATTTTAATTGATTGAAAGGATAAAAAAAAAAAAAAAACCCAAGTAAATAAAGAAAAAAAATGAACTATTGTCCTTTTCACTTTTAAACTTTATTTATAAATCGAAAATATTTGCTTACAATTTATCTTCCTTATTCTTCTTTGTAAGCTATATCTCTATTATTATTTGTAATGTTGTTTATCCACTTTGCATATATGTATTGTAT